GATTTCATCTATTGTAATAAAGTTGGTAGAATTACCGACAATATGTAAAGTAAAAGGACACAAGTGCAACTAATGTGACATTTATTGTGGCAACGTTTCGCTCTCCAGGAGCTTTATCAAGCCATTACAAACAATACATGGACACAGAGGGTATATAAAGGCTCAGAGTGAGGTGAATACTAGTGAGGTACCATTCCGATGTTCACTAGTGGTAGTAGTAGTAGTAGTAGTAGTGGTAGTGACAAAAGCAATTAATTCGTACATGAGTAAAAGGATATAAAAGCTATTACTTGGGTAACATAAAAATAGGTTGGACAAATATAAACTGGAATGAGGCAGGTTGTTTCAGTGTTCACTCTCTGTGCTTTGTGTAGTATAACAGGAGAGACTATGTGATGGCAGGGTTTACTGTTTTCAGGAGGATTCTTGCTAAGACTTCGGAGATGGTGAAGCTGCCGTTGTTTTGTTTAATTGTATTCGAAACAGCGATCAGTGCTGATTCAAGGCACTTGCGTGTGCGGAAATTAGTTTCTTTTATCACTAATTGGGCGTCTCTGAATTTCATAAGATGATTGGTGGAATTTCGGTGTTGTACAACACCGAAATTCCACCAATCATCTTATGAAATTCAGAGACGCCCAATTAGTGATAAAAGAAACTAATTTCCGCACACGCAAGTGCCTTGAATCAGCACTGATCGCTGTTTCGAATACAATTAAACAAAACAACGGCAGCTTCACCATCTCCGAAGTCTTAGCAAGAATCCTCCTGAAAACAGTAAACCCTGCCATCACATAGTCTCTCCTGTTATACTACACAAAGCACAGAGAGTGAACACTGAAACAACCTGCCTCATTCCAGTTTATATTTGTCCAACCTATTTTTATGTTACCCAAGTAATAGCTTTTATATCCTTTTACTCATGTACGAATTAATTGCTTTTGTCACTACCACTACTACTACTACTACTACTACCACTAGTGAACATCGGAATGGTACCTCACTAGTATTCACCTCACTCTGAGCCTTTATATACCCTCTGTGTCCATGTATTGTTTGTAATGGCTTGATAAAGCTCCTGGAGAGCGAAACGTTGCCACAATAAATGTCACATTAGTTGCACTTGTGTCCTTTTACTTTACATTTCATCTATTGCCAAAGAATATAGAGCGCTCCTGCCAGTGCTATTTTGCACTTTTTATAAATAAAGAACATGTTTCCTGAAGGACGTTGCCAGGGGTCAGCGCCCCCCGGGGCCCGGTCTCACACCAGGCCTTCCGGTGGATCAAGGCCTGATCACCCAGGCTCTTGCTGCTGGTGACACGTAATTCAACGTACGAAGCACATCCTGGCTCTGGGCAGGAACTGTTTTGAGAAACTTGGCAAACTGCTTCTCGAAAGACGAAGTATTAAATTAATATCGCATTATTTAAATTAGTTAATCGTAAAATGTCAGAATCAGTTTTAAAGAAAAGTAAAAGAAAGAGAAAAATGTTTGCTAAGTATCCTGCGAGGTTCTCTCTTGGACGGTAAACATTACCGAAGCGGCAAGACAAAAGAGCGGCGGGCGAGCCGAGCGCCCAGTGGTAAACACACAGGAAGTCTGCTTCTATTGCCTCCCGCTACCTTCGACGTCATCTCTAGAAAAGCCATCAACCTCTTCCAACCTCAGGTGCACACTTCGCTAAGAGATACGCCATAATAGTGTATACAGAGGTGCGTTGCATGTATTCTGACTCGTGCTAGGCAGATCTTGCTCATCACATACTCATTTTCACTCGTGTATTTCTCTAGCTTCTGCCGCCTCTATTGCATGCCGAAAAATTTAGGTACCTTGTAGTTTCTATTAATGTGAACGGGTCTGGTTCTTAGTACTGATTTGTTTGTGGAGGGAGGGGGGGCTCAGTGTCTTTGCTCTTTGCCTCGTCTCTTTAAGTTCCGCTTTAAGTTTCACTTCTCTTGAGCCTTGTCATAACCGAAATCTTAAATGTTTGCGGAGTCAGCGTTTATGTCCAGTTCATTCCACTTGCTTAGTTCTCTGCGGTTGAAAAGGAATTCCTATCATTCCTTTGACGACGCTTCAGTATTAACCTCCATGTTGCCTTATTCCTGGTTCTTGCTGTAATAATTCTTCCCAGTATCTTCTTTGTCGTAATCCTGTCTTCCCTAGTCCTCTGTTCTTCAGGATCGTAAACTTCAGTTACTTGACCCTGTTTTCATATTTCACCCCCTCCCCCCCCATCTCAGACTGGGACTAGTCTGATGGCAGAACTTTGCAATTTTTCATTCTGAATGTCCTTGATCGGATGGAGGCTCCACATCTTTTTTTTTTTTTTAAATAAACATGACAAAAATTGCATACAGCGCTAAAAACTATTAATATTTCTGAAAGTTATACAAAGATTAGCCTCGTACTAGCTGCCGAATTCATATTGTTGATGAATTCCTCCGGTGATTTGTTCAGTGTGATATTTGTTCCCGATTTTTTTCTTTCGTCGTTATATGTAGTTTTTCTTTTTTCCAGTCTGTGCTTCGTCTCCAGTTTCCCTTCTTATTCACTCAGTTGCACGACCTGCCACTTATTAAGGTCGTGAGTGCAGTACTTGACCATCCTAGTAACCTGATGAACTCTCCCTGGCGGCCGTCCTTGTCATCTCTCTTCTGTTTTGTGTTTATTCTAGAATCATTTTGAAAATGTGCACTCACAATCCCTCCCCCACCTCTCTCTCTCTCTCTCTCTCTCTCTCTCTCTCTCTATCTATCTATCTATCTATCTATATCTTATTACTGATTATCGACTTATTTCTGTTTCCTTGTGTCTGTCGGAAATTTTTCTTAGGCCTCCCTGCCCTTCCATTTCACTGTTTCAGTGAAGTTATTCCAGGAAATTTCGTAGCCGCCTCTTCTGTAGCCGACTGTTCTGTTCTAGACTTTGATTTTTGTCACCAGCCCCACTAATACTGTATAATAAGATCCTTTGATGGGTTCAGAGAGTTTTCCTTCTCCTGCAGCCCGGACCTGGGCCAGTCTTGCCGGGTCAGCCAGGCTGTTACTTCCGACGGCCCGTTGGTTCACATACCAATCATAGCCTGGTTGATCGAGCAATTGTCTACTAGGCTATAATTTTCATAGGGTATTGCATCGTTAGTTTTTCCTAATTATTTTTCTCCTGGAATGAGAGACATGGGAGGAAGCGCAGAATAAACGCAGTGAAAATCAGGAGTTCAGTGGGCACAATAAGGGAACCTATATCAACATCCGTGACCCCAGATTATTCAACATCTTCCAGACGATATCAGAAACACTGCTTGAACAATTGTAGACGTCTTAAAGGAAACTGGATAAGCATCTTCACCAGGTGTTAGATCAACCAGACTGTGATGGATATATGGGCAGCAGACCAGCAGCAACAGTCTGGTTGACCAGGCAAGCACCAGACGAGCTTGGCCCATGGCCGGGCTCTGGGAGTATCAAAATTATCGGAACTCATCAAAGGTATATCAAAGGTTTCCTAGCATTCCTAGTGTGTGTGTTCTCTGAGGGATTGATGGCTGCCACTGATAACTTAGCGCTCCTTATCTACTTAGCGCTCCTTATCTTGGTCACTTTATACAAGTCCAAACTTTTCCAATAAATTTACCTGTGAGTGAAATCCCTTGTAATCAGTAGCCATTGTTCTGCTTATTTTTCTTGTGCTGTATTTGGCGGTTGTCCCATTCTGTGCGTCCTGCAGCACTTTGCTCCGTGCTGTGCCCTGTTTCTTGCTGTGCCGTATTCCATCCCGTTCCTTGTTCCTTGCTGTGCCGTATTCCATCCCGTTCCTTGTTCCTTGCTGTGCCGTATTCCATCCCGTTCCTTGTTCCTTGCTGTGCCGTATTCCATCCCGTTCCTTGTTCCGTGCTGTGCCGTATTCCATCCCGTTCCTTGTTCCGTGCTGTGCCGTATTCAGTGTTGCGCTCTGGATGTCCCATGGCGAGCCAGTGCTCCTTGCACCCACCACTGGTGCATCACGAACACCTGCTACCTGTACAAATGTTATCTTACGCAGCAGTTAGTGTAACAGTATACTGAGTAAGCCATGTATCTGCTGACAGTCGAAAAGTCGACTGACTTCCTGCTGTTTCTGCTGCCCTTCCCGGAAGGAAAGGTGGTGCTACGACTGTCACTTTTTTTTTTTTTTGGGGGGGGGGGGATATTTCATGTCACGTCTTTACATTAGAAAAATTCGTCACTTCTTCATTACGAATATTTAATGTCTGATTTTTACTTTTAAGATAATGTTACGTCTTCTCATTAGTAAGATTTGATGTCGCATCCTTTAATTTTAAAAAAAAAATAAGAATCACGACATCTGGGTATCTTTATTTGTGTAGATGAATGGTTCAGAGAACCGACATGTTGATAAATTAGACACATATGCAACTCTTGGGTATCTTTATTGAGGAAACGTTTCGCCACACAGTGGCTTCATCAGTCCATACGAAGGAGAAACTTGAAGAACAGGAGGAGAATGAGGTAATCAGTCCCTCAACCTTGAGTCGATGTGTTCAGTCCATCAATCTTGTAGACGTTTCGCCATCCAGTGGCTTTACCAATACAAATTCCAGGACACAGTGGGAAGACTGTAGAACTATATAGAATAGACGAGGTAATCAGTCCCTCAGCCTTGTAGTTGGTGAAGAGAACCGTAGTCTTAAAGACCACTGTACTCTTGAAAAGACTGATGAACTGATTACATCGACTCCAGGCTGAGAGACTGATTACCTCAAACTCCTTCTGATCGTCACCATTTTTCTTTGTTTAGGACTGATGAAGCAACTGTGTGGCGAAACGTTTCCTCAGTAAAGATACCCAAGTGTTGCACATGTGTCTAAAATATCAACTTGTCGGTTATCTGACCATTTATCTACATATTTATCATGTATAAAAATATATTAAACTGTGCTGTTCGTATTTTATGGTAAGTGGAAGGTGCTATAATGTTTCTTTGTGTTTTACAGGTGCGTGTTGGGAGGGAGTCTGTCCTCAGGGTAAGACAACTTGTTTCATGTTACTGATACGGAATTGATACTCTGACAGGGCCAATAAACCCAGAGTTGGAAGATTCTTGTTTTGTGTGTGTGTGTGTGTGTGTGTGTGTGTGTGTGTGTGTGTGTGTGTGTGTGTGTGTGTGTGTGTGTGTGTGTGTGTGCGTGCGTGCGTGCGTGTGTGCGTACGTATTTACGTACCTCTGGAACATATACATGTACGTATGTATGTGGTTCCAGGGGTCGAGTTTGGGGTGTTTCTGTGAGGAGGGGGTATACTCACTGATTTATGTAGGGGGTTTTGACGGGGGGGGGGAGCGTGTGAAAGATATTGTGTGTGGGAACGTGAATATGTGGGAGTTAAAGGAGGGAGTTAAAGGGGTTAAAGGAACAGGAGGTACAGACCTCTATAGACAGATTTCTTGTGCGACAGAGGTCCAGTGACTCTCAAGCTGATCCTAGTGGTATTAAAAGAAGAAGGGAAGTTGTCCCGGTTTTTCTCTTGTTTTCACGGTCGCTCTTACGTGCTAGAACTTTATTTTGTGTCATCAATCCTATACGATACATCCCTCTAGCGCCTGGAACCAATCTTGGGCGGAAAACATTATATACTGAGTCAAAAAAGGAGAATTAGTGTGCATTACCTAGCAGAGTTTACTGCCAGAGGGGAATCATAGGCCTGTTTCCCGTGTGAAAAAAAAAAAAAAAAATAATAATAATTGAACTTTGTGTCAGAGGAAAGAAAGTCTCCCTGAAAGCATTGAGTATATATAGTGTATAGTGTATACTACAGTGGCTCCCTAGTATATTGATGATAAAGGCTAAAGTGTCATTTGAAAACAGGTGAATTTGTAAATGAAGTGATAAGCCTATAGAGGCAGGTGCCAGAAGTCGCCAGAAACTTACCACAGGTCAGCTGTTTTTAATAATCTTCCTGGCTTGCTAGTGTACTCGCATATAATCTAGTGATACCAGTGAATAGCAGAATACAGTGTTGTAGTAGCAACTAACCAGTATTATAATGGTACTTAGTGGAGTGGAGTGACTTTCATTAGTTTCTTTTTCTTGAAATACCAGACGTTACTGTGAATTTCATATAACCTGTAGTTACCAGCGGTCGCAATATACACAACGAGAAGCAATTATTACTACAGAAAAAGCGTCCTTCCTCCAAAATTTGCACCAGTCAACTATAGTGATAATATAGCATTTATTGTGGTGGAGACGGAAAAAACAAAAATAGAAAAGCCAGATACAGCGATTGATAAACAAAGAGGTCGACTGTACGTCATTGTAGGAGCTGCCAGATATCACCGGCTCTTCAACACGCAAGTTATACTTTTGTATCAGTCAAATCACATATTACTCGGGTAGATAATTTCCAGTAGATCCTTCATGTGTTAGCTCAAATCACCGACCAGTATGTTTTAAATAAGTGACCCACTGATCAGAGCAGATCGACTGGTCCGAACCCTTGACTGGTCCGAACCCTTGACTGGTCCGAACCCTTGACTGGTCCGAACCCGGGACTGGTTTCAAACAGTTTCGTTGGACAATAAAGCAGACTGTAAACGGATGGGTTTGTAGGCGCCCTTATAAACACAAACATTAAAAATCAGGAACGTGACGGTAAGCTGTCCAATATACAAAAAGAGTTAGAAACAGAAATACAAATAGCTAGAGCTTCATTTAAGGTTATTAATATTATATTCAAGAGGTTGCTAGTAGAATTGCAGTAAATCAACCATTCACATCATTATGAAGCTGTGTGTAGTCTGTGGTCAGTCAAACAAACGGGCTTCCACATGGATAAATTGTCATTTTTGTGGAAATAGGTGTCACGCTCCTTGTGCAGATATCCCAGAACTAGCTACAAGCAGTATTAAAACAGAGAAGTGTTTTTGGGTATGCCCAAATGAGGAAAATCTGTGGACTAAAATCACAAGGGTATTAAAAGAGGACAACATCAAAGCTGCTTTCATAGAAAACCTGGAAGCTTTCTACAACAGATGGGAACATAAAAAGTCTGGGCTGAATGGTACTGCCCTTGATACTGGCCATGTAGTCACAAACTGTAAGGCTGGAGGTGATGTCCTGGTAGTCAGTAAATGTGGGGCTGATAGTGCTGTCCTGGGAGACAGTAATGGTGAAGCTGGAGGTGCTGTCCTGGGAGACAGAAATGGTGAAGCTGGAGATACTGTCCTGGGAGACAGTAATGGTGAAGCTGGAGATTTTGTCCAGGTAGTCGGGAATTATACGCAGGAAGGAATACATATAAATGACCTCATAGAGGACAGGAGCCATAGTAGGGAAACAAGTGTAGTCAAAGATAAGATAAAACCAATATTGCAAACTAGAAATACCGCAGGAAATAGCAAACAAGAGGACTCCAATAGCAATAGTGAGGATAAATTACCAAAAACAACTGGTGGGAGCTCCATTGTTGGTGCTAGGGAGGATAGGAATAAGACAGGGAAACATGCACCAACAGGGAATACAGTCACAGAAACCCAAGGCAAACGGAAACCAAGCCTGTGCACATACTATGCACTTGGTATCTGCTGGCATGGGAAATCTGGAAAAACAGATGGGACATGCAACTATGACCACCCTAGAAAATGTCATGTCCATATGACAACAGGAAAATGCAAACTCCCTTCCTGTAAGCTTTTCACCCTGAAATGTGTACCTCTTCAGTACAGGAAAGACTGTGCTATAACTTAAATTGCCAGGCATACCATCTAAAGGGGACAAAAAGATACAAAACATCCAGGCCATGGGGAAAACCTGGGTAGCCACAGCCACTCAAGAGGGAGAGGTTTTTTAGTGCCAGGAAGGAAAAAAAACTGGCAGGAAATGGCAGAAATCGTACACCAAATCCAGTCATTCCTGGAGTGGAACCACAGTCGATGGCCTCCACTCCAAACCAACAGATACAGATACTAATGCCGGAAAAAAAATCCCCCCCCAGTACCAACAATACCACCAGTCCGATAACATTCTTCTTTGCAAATATACAGGGTCTAAAGCCAGCAACAAACAACAAAATACCTTTCATCCGTGGACTGCTTGCAGAGGCAAAGGCAATGTTCGCGGCTTTCACTGAGACCCACATAAAGGATCACTTGGACAACGAAATATGGATCCCAGGTTACAACCTATACAGATGTGACAGAGTGAACAGGCAAAAGGGGGGGGTTGGCCTGTACATTGCAGAGTCACTTGTTTGCACAGAACTGCTTAATGCCTCAAATGACGTAGTGAAGTTTTAGCAGTAAAGGTCGAGAACCAAAACCTAGTCATTGTGGTAGTCTACAAGCCTCCGGATGCAACTTCCCAGCAATTCCAGGAACAGCTGTTAAAAATTGACCACTGTCTGGAAAATCTTCCAGCTCCTGCACCCAACATCTTGCTCCTGGGGGATTTCAACTTAAGGCACCTAAAATGGAGGAATATAGCAAATAATATTGTTGCAGAAATAACACCAGGAGGCAGCTCTGATGAAAACTCACACTCACACGAGCTTTTAAATCTCTGCACAAAATTCAATTTAAACCAGCAAATAATAGAGCCTACTAGACTGGAGAATACACTAGACCTCATATTCACTAACAATGATGATCTGATAAGAAATGTCACCATATCAAAAACAATATACTCAGATCACAACATAATTGAGGTTCAGACATGTATGCGTGGAGCCCCAGACCGACAAAATGAGACTAGTCACGAGGGAGCATTCACCAAATTCAACTTCAATAACAAAAACATAAAGTGGGACCAAGTAAACCAAGTCCTAACCGATATAAGCTGGGAAGATATACTAAGCAACACAGACCCAAACTTATGCCTAGAACAGATTAACTCGGTGGCACTCGATGTATGCACAAGGCTTATTCCTCTAAGAAAAAGGAGGAGTAGATGTAAAATAGAAAGAGACAGGCGCTCCCTTTACAGGCGACGGAAAAGAAAACAGAGCGGCTAAAAGAGGTCAATATATCTGAAATGCGCAGGGAGACACTGGTCAGAGAAATAGCAAGCATCGAACTTAAGCTAAAAGAATCCTTTAGGAGTCAGGAATCGCGGGAAGAACTAAAAGCCATAAATGAAATCGAAAGAAACCCAAAGTATTTCTTCTCCTATGCCAAATCAAAATCGAGAACAACGTCCAGTATTGGGCCCCTACTTAAACAAGATGGGTCCTACACAGATGACAGCAAGGAAATGAGTGAGCTACTCAAGTCCCAATATGACTCAGTTTTTTAGCAAGCCGCTAACCAGACTGAGAGTCGAAGATCAAAATGAATTTTTATGAGAGAGCCACAAAATTTGATTAACACAAGCCTATCCGATGTTATCCTGACGCCAAATGACTTCGAACAGGCGATAAATGACATGCCCATGCACTCTGCCCCAGGGCCAGACTCATGGAACTCTGTGTTCATCAAGAACTGCAAGAAGCCCCTATCACGAGCCTTTTCCATCCTATGGAGAGGGAGCATGGACACGGGGGTCGTCCCACAGTTACTAAAAACAACAGACATAGCCCCACTCCACAAAGGGGGCAGTAAAGCAACAGCAAAGAACTACAGACCAATAGCACTAACATCCCATATCATAAAAATCTTTGAAAGGGTCCTAAGAAGCAAGATCACCACGCATCTAGAAACCCATCAGTTACACAACCCAGGGCAACATGGGTTTAGAACAGGTCGCTCCTGTCTGTCTCAACTATTGGACCACTACGACAAGGTCCTAAATGCACTAGAAGACAAAAAGAATGCAGATGTAATATATACAGATTTTGCAAAAGCCTTCGACAAGTGTGACCATGGCGTATTAGCGCACAAAATGCGTGCTAAAGGAATAACAGGAAAAGTCGGTCGATGGATCTATAATTTCCTCACTAACAGAACACAGAGAGTAGTCGTCAACAGAGTAAAGTCCGAGGCAGCTACGGTGAAAAGCTCTGTTCCACAAGGCACAGTACTCGCTCCCATCTT